TGTGTTGCTGACTTGCAGAGAATGGATGTTAATTATAGTCCGAAGGATAAGGCTCTAATGTTGCTGACATCCTTGCCTCCGTCCTATAAGCACTTTCGAACCACTCTTATGTTCGGGAAGGTTACTCTGGATTTTGAGTATGTGGTGCAAGACATCATGACACATCATAGGATGGCTCAATGTTCGGGAGAAAACTCTCAAGGTGAAGGTCTAGTTGCAAAGACCGGAGAGAGAGGCTGTTCAAAGAAGCGTGAAGGCAAGAAAGGCAACAGAGAAAGGTCCAAATCCAAGGCTAAAGAAGGTTGTTTCGAATGTGGGTCAAAGGAGCATTGGAAAAAGAATTGTCCCATATGGAAGGAGAAGAAGAACAAAGGGAAGTCACAGAAAGTGATGGTGAGCTTTTATGTGTTAATAGCAATGTTAAAACTAATGCATTTGCTAATTCTTCAAGGTGTTCCTCTTCCGATTGGATTTTGGATTCCGGATGCTCATATCATATGTGCTCAAACAAGGAGTGGTTTGATACATATGAGAAAGAAGAAGGTGGTGAAGTTATGATGGGGGATGTCTCAATTTGTGGAGTCAAAGGCATCGGTACAATCAAGGTGAAGATGCATGATGGGGCTGTTAGGACGCTTGGAATGGTAAGATACATTCCAAAGTTACGTAAGAATCTCATTTCCCTTGGAACTCTTGATAAGAATGGTTATTCATTTAGAGCTAATGGAGGGAAACTCATAATCTCAAAAGGTTCACTTGTGGTTATGAAGGGAGAGGTTCAACCTAATTGTCTATATAGATTGTGTGGTACAACAATTACAGGTGAAGCAGCTATATCCACAAGCAAGGACTCGGAAGATGAAACTCAGCTTTGGCATTTGAGGCTAGGGCACATGAGTGAGAGGGGCATGCTGGAACTACACAACAGAAAGTTGTTGAAAGGGGTTCAAAGTTGCAAGCTTGAGTTCTGCAAATCATGTACCATGGGAAAGCAATCAAAGGTAGCTTTCAAGCAACGAAACAAAGAGGAGGGAAGCGCAAGTGTGCTAGATTATATTCACACGGATGTATGGGGGCCATCACCGGTTAAATCAAAAGGTGGAGCTCGTTACTTTGTGACTTTCTTGGATGATTTTTCCAGGAAGGTTTGGGTCTACTTCATGAAGGGGAAATCTGAGGTCTTCACCAAATTCAAAGAGTGTAAGGCGGAAGTGGAGAACCTAACCGGAAGAAAAATCAAGATTCTAAGGAGTGACAATGGTGGTGAATATAAAGACAGCAAGTTCCTTGAGTTCTGTAGAAATGAAGGCATTAAGAGGCACTTTACCGTGAAGAAGACGCCCCAACAAAATGAAGCTGCGGAAAGGATGAATAGAACTCTCATGGAGCGTGAGAGATGTATAAGGATTCATGCGGGATTGCCCGAGTCATTTTGGGCGGAGTCAGTTAACCACGCTGCCTATTTGGTTAACCGATCGCCTTCAAGAAATCTTGAGTTCAAATGTGCAGAGGAGGTATGGTCTAATAAGTCAATTGATTATACTAATCTTAAGGTGTTTGGATGCAGTGCATATGCGCTTATTCCTAGTGATGAAAGATCCAAGTTGAAGCCAAAGTCTCTTAAATGCATTTTCATCGGATTTGAGAGCGGGGTGAAGGGCTACAAGCTATGGGATCCAGTGAACCATAAGAAGGTACTAAGCAGGGATGTTGTGTTTGATGAGAAGACCATGCCTATGAACAAAGTCAAGAATTCAGAGGCAAAGGAGGATGTTGTTGGGAGAGAAACAACCATTGAAGTTCCACTCAAGAAGGTGTTTAGGGAAACTTCACAAGAACAGCCAACTGAAGACGTTTAGGAGGAGGTGGAGTCCGACATTGAGGAGGAAGATGCTGGGCAACAACAACAATAACCTCAAGAAGAAGAAGAGGCTCAAGAACAGGTGGAGCCATCATCTATAGCTCGATCCAAGCCCAAGAGAACCATCAAACCACCTCAAAGGTTTGGATGGGACAAGGATGCAGTTCACTATGCTCTAAATGCTAGTGAAGAAGAACCAACCACATTCCAAGAGGCTATTGAGAACAAGGAATGGGAAAGTTGGATGGAAGCTATGATGCAAGAGATGGAATCTCTACACCAAAACTCAGTTTGGGAGTTAGTTCCTAAACCCAAAAGTCGAAAGGTTATTGGCTGCAAATGGGTGTTTAGGAAGAAAGAAGATATGCATGGGAAGGGAGCCACCATATTCAAAGCTCGGTTGGTGGCTAAAGGATACTTGCAAAAGGAGGGAGTTGATTATGATGAAATTTTCTCTCCGGTGGTGAAACATACTTCTATACGGCTACTACTCTCCTTAGTAGCTCAAGAGAACATGGAGGTGGAACAAATGGATGTGAAGACCGCTTTTCTCCATGGGGACTTGGAGGAAGCCATCTACATGAGCCAACCTCAAGGGTTCATTGAAGCAAGCAAGGAAAATCTGGTTTGTAGGTTGAAGAAGTCTTTGTATGGGCTGAAGCAATCTCCAAGACAGTAGAACAAGTGCTTCGATTCTTTCATGATAAAGATTGGGTATAGAAGATGTGAATCAGATTGCTGTGTATACACTCATGCATTCAAGGATGGTAATTTCATCCTTTTGCTTCTCTATGTTGATGACATGCTAATTGCATGTAAAGACATGTAAAAAATCCAGGAACTGAAGACATTGCTTGGAAGGGAGTTTCACATGAAGGATCTTGGTTCTGCACAAAAGATCCTAGGTATGGAGATAAGGAGAGACAGAAATGGAGGCAAGTTATGGCTGTCACAAAGCAAGTACATTTCCAAAGTACTTGAAAAGTTCAACATGATGGATTGCAAGCCGGTGTCTACTCCTTTGGCCGAACATTTTATATTAAGTGCGCAGGATTGTCCTTCTACGGATGAGGAGAAGGAAAAAATGAGTAAAGTTCCATATGCAAGCTTGGTAGGGTATCTCATGTATGCAATGGTGTGCACACGCCCCGACTTAGCCCAAGCCGTAAGTGTTGTGTCAAGATACATGGCGAATCGGGGCAAACAACATTTGACAGCAGCGAAGTGGATTCTCAGGTACTTGAAGGGCACCAAGAGGATTGGGATATTGTTTGAAAGACAACAAGGAAAAGCATGTGTGTCGGGTTATGTGGATTCTGATTATGCAGGAGATTTAGACAAGAGGAGATCCACCACAGGATATGTCTTCATTTGTGGTGGAGGACCGATTAGTTGGAGAGCGGTGTTACAATCGGTTAGTGCCTTGTCTACTACAGAAGCAGAGTATATGGCGCTAACGGAAGCTTCAAAGGAAGCGGTGTGGCTGAAGAGATTGGCAAAGGAATTCGGGATTGCCCAAGACTTGGTGGTCATACAAAGTGATAGTCAAAGTGCTATACACCTAGTGAAGAATCAAGCATTCCACGGAAGATCAAAACACATTGATGTTCGGTACCACCGGATAAGAGATTGGGTGAACGATGGAGACATCATGATAAGGAAGGTTCATACAAATGAGAACGCTTTAGATTGTCTAACGAAGCCAGTCACTACAGCAAAGTTCAAGCATTGTTTGAACTTGCTCAATCTTGTTACATGCTAGAGATTGAGGTGGAGTTCTTGAGAGTTATCGGGACGATTCTCAAGACATTACAAATGTCCTGGAAGGCAATGATGTCCACAAGAAGCTTTAGGCTCGCCAAGGTGGAGATTGTTGGAAAATTGGCTCACATAAAGGATACCAAGTTTCGGATTAGCGACCGGTCGCAGGACATTTGCAACCGGTCGTTTTTACACAGATTCGAAGTCTGGAGCGAAGTCGACTCGCAACTGGTCGCCAACCATTTGCGACCGGTCGTTTTTACACAGAGTCGAAGTCTGAAGACTCTGTGCAAAAGCGACCGGTCGCCCAGCACGTGCTGTTTCGGATTTCTCGAGTTTTGAACTCTAATTTCAAGGGCTATCACCTCCCACCTACTTGCAAGGACTCTAGGGGTCACTTCTAAGTCAGAAGAATGTTGGCAATCAGTTTGGAGGTTTGAGGTAGCATTGAAGGACATTGGAAGACTTGTTTCAAGGTGTAGCTACCCTATGATTCTATATAGGGTGGCTACATAAGTAACCATCAATACATAACTTGTGGCTGGCCTAACCTGTGGTCTATGTCAGGTATTCAAAGGCAGAACGTGGGAGACAAAGCAAGGATCTTCTCTCAAGTCTAGAGGCTCATGTATTAAAGGAAAGAGTGAGCAAGTCTGGAATTGTAAGAGAGAGTTAGAGAGAGTTGGAAGAGTAACCATCAATACATAGCTTGTGGCTGGCCTAACCTGTGGTCTATGTCAGGTATTCAAGGGCAGAACGTGGGAGACAAAGCAAGGATCTTCTCTCAAGTCTAGAGGCTCATGTATTAAAGGAAAGAGTGAGCAAGTCTGGAATTGTAAGAGAGAGTTAGAGAGAGTTGGAAGAAAAGTAGCTGGGAACTAGTGAGTCAAGAAGAGGAGAGAATTCTCAAGTGTATCAAGGTGTTGAGCAAGGGTGTGAGAGAAACAGATTGTGAGGGTAGTGTTCTAAGGGGGTTTCCAGTTGTAACCTATCTTCATTAGTGAAACTTCTCAAGGGGATCACCAAGAGAGGATGTAGGCAAATTGCTGAACCTCTATAAACACTTGTGTCTTTTGTGCTTGAGTTATTTTCTGTGTGTGTGTGTAAGATTCATCCATCATTGAGTCTTGTCCAAAGTCCATCAACAACAAGGTCTAAAGGGCAGTGAGTTGGTTCTAATTCACAACATGCCTGTCATGCTTTGTGGAGTTGTAAGGTCAGCAAGCAGTTTTGGAGGTGTACGGGGTTTGCTGGGCATTTTAAAATTAGTGGAGGCTCTTTTGCAGATTTATTTTACGCGATTATTAGAGCTTGCTCACAGGTCGACGTGGAGAGGTTTGTTTGTTGTGTTTGGAAGCTCTGGCAGACACGTAATGATATGTTGCATGGGAAATCTGTTCCTTGCGTAGAAGACTTAGTCGAGAGAATTATGGAGCTATATGGAGGTTACAAATCCTATTTGGTGCGGCCCCAGCTATTTGGGGTGTCTTGGCCAATCAAATGGGTTCGCCCGCCTCTGCATACCTTTATGCTTAACTGTGATGGTGCCTTGGACCGTGAAGGAGAAAGGAGAGGTTTGGGGGGGTGTTGTAGAGATAATGCAGGGAGATTTATATGTGGATTTGCTACTTTCAGTCCACCTGTGCTGAATGTATTAGGCACTGAGTTGGTGGCATTGAGGGAAGGGTTATTGATGATGGGATTTAAAGGCTATACTCAGTTTTTGCTTGCAACTGACTCCAAAGAAGCAGTGGCGATGCTCAAGGGAGCTTTGGAGTGGCGGAGTAATTTGGGTAATGTGGTGGAGGATATTTGACGATTAATGGCGGATCGTGGGGTGGTTGATGTGGTGTTTCAACCTTGCGATGGCAATGGGGCTGCACATGCACTGGCCCAGTTTGGATTGAAGAAAGGTCTACGTTTCTTTTGGGAAGATATTGCTCCCCCATGGCAGAAGCAAGTACTAGAAAGCGATAGGGTGCAGATTTAACGGGGCTCTTTTGTTCTCCTCTGCTGTTTATTTGGAGGTGTTGTGGTACTCTTTTTCCTCCCTTGGGGGTTTTATATGGCAAGGTTTTAATGAGGCCACTCTGAGCCCTCTGTTTCGCCAATTGATTCTTTTGTAAGTTTGATGCAAGTTCAATGAAATTCTTCTTCTTGATAAAAAAAAAATATAAAAGGCTATGAGATTTGGGGTAAACACTTTCACAATGTCACACATACATTGGTACATATTGTGGGAGCAAATTTCCTCCCACAAGAATATTCCGTTGAAAGGTTCCCCTTTCTTCTTCGCCGCCTCTTTCTCCCTGCAAAATAAATCGGATAAGAGGACCACACCCGGGGGGTGTTGGCCAAAGGCCCTCCGATGCCTAAGTTAGTTCAATTGATTTAGGGAAAAATCAATAGCTAAATAGGGTACGGAGATATATATGTAAGGTGTAAACCGGGCGGCCGGAGCCTTATGTAAAAGAGAGAGAGAGAGAGAGAGAGAGAGAGAGAGAGAGAGAGAGAGGAGGTGGCTAGGATTTGTGAAGGGAAGAGCTCTCTAGAGTTTTAGTAGAAATTCTGACGTACCTCATCCTTGTGCGTGGCCAAGTATTTATAGGAGGCCTTGACGAGGTTGGTGAGGTTGGTGTGGTTGGTGAGGTAGGTGAGGTTGGTACATTTAGGGATTTGATTAATTAGGGAATTAATCAAATCCCTAATGGTGGTAGGTAGGTTAATTTCCAACCTGATTAGGTAATTCCTCATTTAATTGGGAAATGTGGTAGGAATAAAATAAGTTTTTAACTTAATTAGGCGTTTCTCAATTTAATTGGATAATCCCCAATTAAATTGAGTAACTAGCAATCAAATCAATACCTAATTTAATTAGGTAACTCCTCCATTAATTGAGAATATTCGTAGGAATCAAATCAATCCTCAATCTAATTAGGTAACATTCTATTTAATTGGGTAATCCCCAATTAAATTGAATAATTCCCAATTAGGTCAAATAATCCCCAAATGGAATGAATTAGGGTTCTGATTTAATTTGGTTCCCACAAATGCCCCCCCCCCCAGCTTCTGTATGGCACGTGGTGGCATGTAGGAGATGTAGATCATCTGTTGGGCTGTCCAGCTGTAACTGGGCTTCCTTCTTGGATTTGGGCTCCCAATTGGAGTGGGCTTTTGACTGTTCTTGGAGTTGGGTTCCCAGTATGAATGGGCTTGCGATTCCTTCTTGACCTAGGATGCCCAACATGTATAAATGCAGGGCTTCTCTTCACTCTTCTTCACATCGCAAACTTAACTTCTCTACTTCCTAGCTTGAGAGAGATCTTGGAGAATTTGTACTGCTTGTCGAAGAGAGGAGTCGCCGTGCATCCCAAGGTAAGTCAAGCACATATATTTATTTTTCTTCTTTTTTTTTTGCTTCTCGGATCATCTAGGGGAAGCCCGACTAGTTGTCGTCGTGACAGGTGACGGCTAGTAATGGGCGGCAGCCGTGGTGGAGCAAGTGCGCACAGGTAGACTAGCTACTGCCTATCGTCGCAGGTCTGGGCTGGAGCATGCTTGGCCTCATGCGTTGTGGGCCTCATCAGCTTGGCAAGTATCTGGAGAAAGTTGGTGGTCTGCCCCCAGCCCAGGATGTTGAGAGATGGAAGCAGAATGGTCCAGACTCTGATGGTCTGCCAGCTGGGCAGGAGAAGTGTTCTGGCGGACTTCCCTAAAAAAAGAAGGCTGATGTCATGTCTTTAAGAAATGGAGTTGCAACTTCGCGGGCGAATGATGTGTCTCCGTTGAGGAGGAAGCCAAAGTCCCATTCTGCTGAGAAGACTCGAGTGGGGTCTGTTCCATCATCATCTGCCAGGGTCAAGCATCTTGTTGGTGCAGATAGCAAGAAGGTTGGTGAGAATCATGATCTGCTCCGTGAGATAGTTCGTGCCCGATCCCGTTCTGTCGAGCGTCAAAGAGATGCAGATATCCCTCTTCGAAGTTCGAGTCGTCTGCATCAGTCTAAGGATGGGGATCGAATGCAGAGACTCGCTCATGATCTAGTTGTTGAGGCACGGGCAGTCAAGCGTGGAGTTGATTCTGCATCATTGACTCCTTTGCAGGTGAGGCTGGCAGAGGTTTTAAGAAGATGAGAGAGTCATCTGCCCGAGCGAAGGGTTCTTCTGCAACGTCAGCTGTTGGTCTCAAGGTTGACAAGCCTAGTCCTGTAGGGGATACAGGCGTATCTGATCTGCTCAAGACGAACTTTCTGTCAAGCCCGTCCACTTTTGCTGAGCTGGTTGTCCACGTCCGTCAGGCCGGCGATCTTGGCACCTTCTTGAGTCTCTCCTTGGAAAAACAAAAGGAAGTGATACTTCATTTGCTTCAAAAAGGATTAGTTTTTGCTACCGAGACTATCCGGAACTCATTTGCTGTTGTCCCCTCTTTTGCTCAGCTCAGTGAGCTGGAGAAGAAGAATGTCAAACTAGCCAGCGAGCTTTTTGCCAAGCAGGCCAGTTATGAGAAAAAGACGTCTGATTTGAGGGCGATGATATCAGAGTTGAAAAGCTCCCTTGCCGAGAAGGATTCCGAGCTCAGCTCTTCTGCTGCTGATTTGGCTAGTCGAAAAGATGCCTTCTTCCGTCTTGAGCGCAAGAATGCTGACATCTCCCATAGCTATGACAAGCTCTTGGCTAGGTTCCATGCTCACCACAAGTCTGCTGAAAAATCCAAGTCTGAAGCTGCCATAGATGTGTACAAGTTGGGCTACCTGCACTGTGCGGATGGGACTGCTCCCTTTTATGCAATTGAAGATGCAGACATCGAGACACTCTGCCCTGACTTATTCCATGTGCAAGGAGGAACTGAAGAGCAGGCAGCTGGAGCGGATGGAGCTGAGGAGGACGTAGTAGATGAGATAATGGCAGACGTTGCGGAGAAGGCAGGCGAAGTTGCTGAAGGCATGACTGATCAGGTGGATGCAGAAGAGGCTGCAGATCAATGGTCTCCTGCCAACGTCTCGGAGTAGATGAAGATTTCTTTATTTCTTCTCAGTTTTTGTAGTTTGCTTTCTTGTTTAGAATAATTGGTCTTATTCGACCATCTTCCTTTTGTTGAACTTGGCCGGTTGGTCTGCTTGATATGGAAATTTAGTTTATTTTTTCAACTTCAATTTGCATATTGACTTGTGGACTGCTTGAGTAACCAGCTTGTATTTTGATGGCGCATCTCCCTTTGGAGATTTCTGAGTGCTGGGGGTCACCCTTGAGGGACTTCGGGCGTGCT